ATTAGAACCTTAATTCAGCTGGGCAGAATTGAAGATTTCCTATGAAAGCCGTAATTCAGCTGGGCTGAATTGAAGATTTTTCACTAAATTGATATGATTATCTTGTCTGTTTTTTTTTTTCGCACTCAATCTCCTTCATTGGTAAGCATAAAACATGAACACTTTTGCACCAGGTGTCTTTGGGAAAAGTGTTCCTAGCTATGCCAGCTTTGATAGTGCCATCAAGGTTTACTTAAATCTACCGGAAGGATACATGGAATTGTCATTTCCATGGCACTCAAGGCATAACTCAGAGAAGCAGCAACAGCTGGGTGAATTGATTGGCTGTTAATGTTACCCAACATTTTTCCAAGGTGTAGCGGAATTTGTTATGAATGAATAACTCGCTGAACACTGAGGCAACAACTACAAAAACCATAAACATTAAAAACATTTCAACACCAGAAAAAACAAAAACTCATTTGGGACTTGTAAACAACAACAAAAACATTATCTTCTTTTCTCTAAGATTTTTTTGTGGAAATATTCCCCTTTCCCTTCTTCCCCCGAACCAACGCGGCAATAAATCAAAACTGTTATTTTCACATTTTAATTTCACTAATGATATTGTTCTGTTCTGTTCAGCTAGGAGCTCAAGCTCAGGAAACAACATGTTTAAAACATTTTCGCTGTTCTTCCGGCGGCCTTACCTCCTTCCCCCTTCCACCAGTGCAACCATGTGGCACTACTCCTCTAGCAATGCAATGCAATTTAACATTGCATGCCAAGCAGCAAGAATTGAATTCCTTTCGTTTTTTGTTCTTTATTTTTCTTGTTCGCCTTCTCCTGCTGCGAAGCATTCACCAGCTTATGGAGGTTTTTCCCAAACAAATTGCATGCAGTTTATTGTCATTCGTCTTCGAAGTGGTTGCATATTTTTACCCCGTCCTTCTCACTCTTTTACAATCTACTTAAATAATATCTTTGACTTTTTCCCTCGGCTAGTGGCGGGGTGGAAAGGAAATTTTAGAATTTATGGTTGGCAAGGAATTTGGGCAATGCTACATTCAACCTAACTGAATTGAAGTTTTCATAGAAAAACTAAAATTCAGCTTAGCTGAATTCAACTTTCCATAGAAAATATGCAATTCACCTGGGCTGAATACTGATTTTCATGTGAAACCTGCAATTCAGCTCAGCTGAATTAAAGTTTCCACTGAAAATATGCAATTCAGCTCAGCTGAATTCAAGTTTCCATGGAAAATATGAAATGCAGTCCAACTGAATTAAAGTTTCCATAGGACATTATCAATTCAGCCCAGCTGAATTAAGGTTTCCATACGAAATCTTCAATTCAGCTTAGCTAAATTAAAGTTTCCATACGAAATCTTCAATTCAGCCTAGCTGAATTAAGGTTTCCATATAAAATCTTCAATTCAGCCCAGCTGAATTAAGGTTTCTATAGGAAATCTTCAATTCAACCCAGCTGAGTTAAGGTTTCTATAGGAAATCTTCAATTCAGCCTGGCTGAATTAAGATTTCAATATGAAATCTTCAATTCAGCCCAGCTGAATTAAGGTTTCTGTATGAAATCTTCAATTCAGCCCAGCTGAATTAAGGTTTCTGTATGAAATCTTCCATTCAGCCCAGCTGAATTAAGGTTTCCATAGGAAATCTTCAATTCAGCCCAGCTGAATTAAGGTTTCTGTATGAAATCTTCAATTCAGCCCAGCTGAATTAAGGTTTCTGTATGAAATCTTCCATTCAGCCCAACTGAATTAAGGTTTCCATAGGAAATCTTCAATTCAGCCCAGCTGAATTAAGGTTTCTATAGGAAATCTTCAATTCAGCCCAGCTGAATTAAGGTTTCTATAGGAAATCTTCAATTCAGCCCAGCTGAATTAAGGTTTCTATAGGAAATCTTCAATTCAGCCCAGCTGAATTAACGTTTCTATAGGAAATCTTCAATTCAGCCTGGCTGAATTAAGGTTTCTATAGGAAATCTTCAATTCAGCCTGGCTGAATTAAGGTTTCTATAGGAAATCTTCAATTCAGCCTGGCTGAATTAAGGTTTCTATAGGAAATCTTCAATTCAGCCTGGCTGAATTAAGGTTTCTATAGAAAATCTTCAATTCAGCCCGGCTGAATTAAGGTTTCTATAGGAAATCTTCAATTTAGCCCAGCTGAATTAAGGTTTCCAGAGGAAATATTCAATTCAGCCCAGCTGACTTAAGGCTTCTGTAGGAAATCTTCAATTCGGTCCAGCTGAATTAAGGTTTCCATAGGAAATCTTCAATTTAGCCCAGCTGAATTAAGGTTTCCATAAGAAATCTTCAATTGCACTCAGCTGTATATACGATTTAATGTGTCCTCTATACCGCTTGTAGCTCCCTCCTGTTGCATGACGTCTGCCATTTGATTTCCTTCCGTTGTGTGTTTTTTCTATATCTGGGAATCCTTATATTTTGTAACTGTTGTTTTACATTTGATGATTTAGTGCCACCAAAAGCCATTGGAATTTCATTGTTAGTTGTTTTTTCTCCAGCTGTTATAGTTTTTCTCTCCCTCTCTGCCGCTCCCTTGTATTTCTCACTCTTGGCTGACTCTATTCTTTTAACGAAATGATAAATGAAACTTTAGTGGCTTCTGACCCATTTAATAGAATTTCTCATTGCGAAAAAAAACTCAACAAAAAATAGAAATGTTTGCTAAAGTTTCATGAAGCATCATGTGAAAGAAATGCAAAAAAATTAGTAGTAACAGAAGAAAGAAACTAAAATCATGAATGAACAATCAAGCAGCACAGCATCTTTGCAAACAACTAATCGAGGTTGTGACGTTCACAGGTTCCATCCACATCCATCCATTCGTCTCCTTTCCCGCTGTTTGCAAATTACATTAGGTTTGGCACACATTTTTATTTGTGTGTGTGTTCTCCCTCTCTACCTTTCTCTCTCTATGTATGTGTTGGGTAAAATTTTCTTGAAATATGTCAGAAACAATTACACACTGTAACTGTTTTTGTTGTTCGAAGCGGAAATACAATTAATTAATGTTGAAGGACTCTGCTGATTTGATGCCATACACAGAGAACGTGTGTTTCTCTCTTCGTTTCTTTTTTTAATTCTCAAAATTAATTAACTAAAGTGAAGAGAGATTTTATTTTAATATACATTAAAATAATAAAATGAAAATAAATCACTTTGCTGAATTAGGTTAATCATAGGAAATTTTAAATTCCTTCCACATAAATTAGGGTTAGCATAGGAAATCTCCAATTCAATCCAGCTGAATTAAGGTTTCTATAGGAAATCTTCAATTCAGCCCAGCTGAATTAAGGTTTCTATGGGAAATCTTCAATTCAGCCCAGCTGAATTAAGATTTCTATAGGAAATCTTCAATTCAGCCCAGCTGAATTAAGATTTCTATAGGAAATCTTCAATTCAGCCCAGCTGAATTAAGATTTCTATAGGAAATCTTCAATTCAGCCCAGCTGAATTAAGATTTCTATAGGAAATCTTCAATTCAGCCCATCTGAATTAAGATTTCTATAGGAAATCTTTAATTCAGCCCAGCTGAATTAAGATTTCTATAGGAAATTTTTAATTCAGCCCAGCTGAATTAAGATTTCTATAGGAAATCTTCAATTCAGCCCAGCTGAATTAAGATTTCTATAGGAAATCTTCAATTCAGCCCAGCTGAATTAAGATTTCTATAGGAAATCTTCAGCCCAGCTGAATTAAGATTTCTATAGGAAATCTTCAGCCCAGCTCAATTAAGATTTCTATAGGAAATCTTCAATTCAGCCCAGCTGAATTAAGATTTCTATAGGAAATCTTCAATTCAGCTCAGCTGAATTAAGGTTCCTATAGGAAATTTTCAATTCAGCCCAGCTGAATTAAGGTTTCTATAGGAAATCTGCAATTCATCCCAGCTGAATTAAGGTTTCTATAGGAAATCTGCAATTCAGCCCAGCTAAATTAAGGATTCTACAGGAAATCTGAAATTTCGCCCGGCAGAATTAAGGTTTCCGTAGAAAATCTTCAACTCAGCCCCGATGAATTAAGGTTCTAATTGGAAATCTGCAATTCAGCCCAGCTGAATTAAGGTTTTTATAAGAAAATTTGAATAAAAAAACATATTTTTGTTATTTTTAATAAATTATTTACTTTTTATTAATTCTCTCTCTCCCTCTTTCTTTTAGATTTTATATCTCACACGCTTCAATTTCATTGATGGTCGTATAAATTCTGGAATTCCTCACCTCCGTTGGTATATTCAAAAACAGCGTCTGTATAAAATTATAATACAAAATCGATTCATCCGGGAAGGCTATACTGAAGACGAAATATAATTGTAAACAAAATTCCATGGCCTCCAGGACGGTACTACACTGATAATATTGCTCCTCGAAGTAAACGAATATCTCTTCAATATCACCGCCCAGTTCACCGATTACTAGCAGCATTGGTGGTATCGCAGTGGTGCGTGATTCTATGGCAGCATCTAGTTTAGCGCGAGAGCGTCGTATACAAATGCATGAATTCTGTGAATCTTCTATGGAGTAGCGCTTCTTCCGGCGCACCCCACTATCATCGTTAAATATTTGAAGTGTTGGCGGGAAGAGTTGGTGCAGGCACCAGAGAATGCATAAGTGTTGGGATTCTGGGAAGAAAAGAGAAATATTTTTAAAAAATCCACGCCTATTTTAGAGTTTTTAAATTTTTTTCTGGACTTACCTGTTGAACAATATTTATATTTCACCGAAAATTTATAACTTGCCATTTTTAAGAATAAAATTTTTTCCAATTTCTTGAGATTTTTTAAGAAAATTTCCGAAAATTTTGTAGCGTGGGGAAACTTGACCATGAAATCCGAATTGACCTAGAAAACGAAACAGAAAACGTTTTTTATTGGAAAATAATTTTGAGTAAAAAAGTAGAAGGACTCAGATCGATTAACCTTTAATTGGAAGTTCATGGCTTATAGATTCCGAAATTTCAGTTCAATTTGTTTTTGCCCTAGCCCATTCCGATACTTACATAGTCTTTGGCCTCGGACTTTTTATATTCCGGCCATTTATTTAAAATATCCTGCAACGATTCAATTTCATCAATATCCCGAAAACGAATAGCTTGTGTACGATTCCAAAACTCCATACGCTCCTCATGGCTGTGCGCACTAAATCTCATGTGATCCTCATTCAACTCCACAATGCATTCTTTCTCTGGAAAAAAAATATTAAAAATGAAAATAAAAAAAATCTCAAAGATTCCAGGTTCCCCATATACTTATTGCACCATCCGAAGGTGATGCTGGTTTCGAAATCGATTCCGACTCCTCGACCTGTTGCTGTTGTTTTAGTCTCCTATGGATTCTTTTCATATTATGTATCTTATTATAGAGACGTCCCCTTCTACCCGTTCGATAGAATTCCTCCCGTTCGGTGGGAAACATTTCGAGAATTTGTTTTTCCATACTGGTGGCTTGGCTCATCGTTAGCTTGCATTCATTGGCATCTATATGGCGGGCTAATATATTCAATAAAGTGGTACGGTGATCCTCTAGGAAGATTTTATGTTGCTGGTAATAACTTATGAGGGTCTTACCCTCAAAGGTAGAATTTAGAATATCCCGGACGGAATATGGTGAAAAGTTTGTGGGCCCCATATCAGAAGGCGTCGAGACTGATGGGAGTGGTGCCGCAGAGCTTTCACTGGCCACATTAGCAATTTTTGGCAATGTGGTGGATGAAGAACGTCTGACAGCTGACGACGACATTTCAGGCCTGGATACATTTGTTGTGTTGTCATCCATATCTTGTAAATTATCTTCGGTATCATCATAATCATGTACCTCCAACTCTTGAGAACTTTCATTTGGTTTCAATCTCTTCGTTCGATTTTCTGTTATAGCAATTGGTACAACTTGGCTTCGAAAAGCTTTCGGTGTATCATCTAACAGCTGCAGCTGCTGCCATATGTTCAAACGATGTTCGAACATGACCTGATCACCTAATGGACGATTTGCAAATAATTTTTCAATATGTTGTGGCTTGAGTATCTTCAGAACTTGAAGAGTGATTTTTTGTTCCCGAAAATGATTGTAGTGATGCTCCAAATGCCACGAAGTGAGGAGATTTTTTAATTCTAAATCCCCGGAATGGCTGTCGGGATGGGTGGTCATTCTTCTTTAAATTTATTTAAAGAAAAATCTGGAAAAAGATTTTTTAATTTTTAAAAAAATCCACGACTTGTGTTAAATTTGAAAAAAACAATTATTTTTAAAAAAAATCAATTAAATTTTTTTTTAAATTCACACCTTGCGTTAAACCTAGAAAATGTTGAAGACTCTTAAAAAATATTTATAAAAAAATCTACGCCTTGTTGAGGACTCTTAAAAAATATTTATAAAAAATCAACGCCTTGTTGAGGACTCTTAAAAAATATTTATAAAAAATCCACGCCTTGTTGAGGACTCTTAAAAAATATTTTTCAAAAATCCACGCCTTGTTGAGGACTCTTAAAAAATATTTTTCAAAAATCCACGCCTTGATTTGTACGCGTGGTTTTATATTTGTCGGGATCGGGATCGGTGTTGAGAGTTTCTCTCTCTTGAGAGAGTAATTAGAGTTGCGCTATTTTTAATTTTGTAACAAGCGTACTTTTTGTTCACAAAAGGTACGAATTGACATAAACGTACCAAAACAAAAATTAGATTGTTTTATTACCCTTGAATACATTTACGCTTAAATTATAACATATATTATTTATGCAAATAACTGGTATAAATATTGGCCAATATTTATCGATAATTATGATTTATTATCATTTGAAGTAGAATTTCAGGTACCTTTTCGTACTTTTTTGTTCCTACCTGTGGTAATGTTTTCCAACACAATTCACAATTTACCTCTGAGAGAGAGAGAAACTCTCAACACCGATACCGATCCCGACAAATATAAAACCACGCTACCTCTTTTATTGTTCTAATTATTTCTTTTTATTTTCTGATCACAATAAACGACAACACACAATAATCACTCCATTACTTCTCGTTTGCTTTAATTGCAAATTCAACGTAAATTGATAACACATTTCATCAAACTAAACTCACTCAAGCAACCTACATTAATACACGATGGGTTAAACAACAACAACAACAGAGACCGGTTGCTTCATATGAAGAGACTCTCTGAGTGCACTGTATGTACTCTCCACATTAGCTCTCAACGACCAACCAAGCAAAGGTAACGGACAACAAATAAACAAACACCAAACATGATTGAATGCACGATTGACTTGGCTAAACACTATGAATGAGAGCGGGAGAGAGAGGGGCAGATAACAAAGAAACCACCACTCATGTGCTTTGTTGTTGTTTGTTGAACAAACAAGCAAAATTGTTATACACACACAATCCGCCGTCGTTGTCAAATCAATGCAAAATGTTTGGTTGATAAAATTTGTTGTGTCACACAACTAAATAATTTAATTAAAATTTAATAACAAATGACCACACCCTAATATTAATTACATTTTATAATTTTTAATCACCTTTTGTATATTTTATTCGAATTTATTATTGTTCGTGTGAATATTGTTTTGTTGTCGTTTCGACGACCAGCAACGACACTTTGTTGTTCGCTTTAATGAAATCCAACGTTGACTAAGATTTGCATTGGACTCAACAAGGCAGGCAGTGGTCTGATGTTGCGCTCTCTCTCTCACTCAATTATCTGGGAGATAAATATAGGTAAAGAGAATTTTAGTTGTATTTGGGATTTTGTATTTTGTTTTTGCAAAATAGTAGGTTGTTTTTTTTTTTTATAAAAACAACAAACTGGGAAATTTTTGCGTGTATATTTTCGTAGGTAACGGGAAATTTTTGCGTTTGGTTAGGTAAAGTGTGGAGGGCGAGATAGGTAGATAGTGGTTACATTAAATGCAGGGTTGGAAGTTTGCAGTCATTGCTGTGAAAATTAATGAATTGTTTCTTTAAATGGCTGTAACTTTGTTAAAAATTGTCGTATTGCGATCAAATAAAAAGTGTTGGAAAGATTGAGGCTTTAAGAAAAAAATAAAAATATTTGTTTTGCTTAAAATATATTTATGACTAAGAAAAATATTAATTGAAGCATACAAAAACAGTTGTGCATTGAAAAAATCTTGCAAAAATATTTTTTTCCTGATTTTTCAAAATTTGTTTTAAAATCCAAAAATATGAAAATATATATTTTTTGAGCAAATTGAATTATCTATACTAATAAAAGAGTAAAGTGATTGACTGATTTAACGATTCATCAACGCCCAGACGAAACGGCTGAAGTTAGAATCTTGAAATTTTGGGTGAAGGTCACTCTTGGTCCAAAGGTACTAGAAGTACTAAATGTGATACCATTCGTATTTGGCGAACCGGTATAGCTAGAACTCTTACATTTTAAATGAGGATCACTGATGGAGTGTAGAATATATATAGCAAAGGTTTTTTTTTTTGGACATTCGAACTATAAGTATACGAAAAGTACTAAAATGTACTAAATTTGGTACAATTCCGTAGCATGTGAATGGATAGAGTTAAAAACTTGAAATTTGGAATGCGAATAAGGGTTGAGATGTAGGTTCTATTAACGAAGATGGCTTTGAAAGCGTGTACTCATGTGTACGAAAAGTACTATATGGTACTATATTTGGTACAAATTTAATTTAGAGATTAAAATCGAGCTGAAATCCTGGAATTTGAAATTAACATTACCGTCGGAGTGTAGGATTGGGATATGAACGTAGTTTTGAAAATTTGTTACATATGTGTGCCAAAAGTACTAAATCGTACTATAATACGATTATATAATATAATAGGTCAGGATCACTGTTGAGGTGTATATTTGTACTAAGTGTACTAAATTTGGTACAATTTAAATTGTGGGTGAAGCGATAGAGTTGGAATCCTAAAACTTTAATTTAGGATCAGTGTGTGGGTGTAGGATTGGGGTATGTAGGAATTTTTTGAAATTGGTACTACTGTGTTCTAAATTTGGTACAAGGTGAATTGTGGGTGGACCGATAAAGTTGGAATCCTGAAACTTGGATTTTGGTTCACTGTGGGGAGAAGGTTTGGGTTACGTAAGAAGTTTTGGAAATTCGTACTACTTTGTACTACATTTGGTACAATTTGAATTGTGAGTGAACCGATAGAGTTGGAATCCTGAAACTTGTATTTAGGATTACTATGGGGGTGTAGGTTTGTGGTAAGAAGGAGGTTTTAGAAATTCGTACTACTGTGTACTAAATTTGGTACAATTTGAATTGTGGGTGAACCGATGGAGTTTTTGGTAAGAAGGAGGTTTCAGAAATTCGTACTACTTAGTATAATTTTGTAAGTGAACCAATAGATTTGAAATCCTGAAATATTTTATTTGAAATCATTGTGGTGGTGTAGGATCGGGGTATGCAGGAAGTTTTGTTGGATGGTGAAGAGGGTACTTATGGAAATAATGTGTTCTAAATGGAACCATATTTGGTAAAATTCGGATTTGGGTGAACCTTTAGAATGCAATTTATGGTCGATATTAATGTGCAGATTTATTTTTGCAGTATTTTGTGAAAATAACATAATATGTTAATACATGTTTAAATTATTCTCACATTCGCCAACTAAGGTATGTGGGAAGTGTTGGAAATTCCTACTTATGCTTGTTAAAGTAGGTAGTTATTTGATTTTTTTTCAAAATAAGTATTACAAGAGTACAAAGGGTAAAAATGACACCAAATTTAGTATACAGATAGATTTCTGTTGCGGTCGGAATGGGTGTGTAAGTTTGAGATATAGAGATATATTTGAAAAACGTACTATAATGATTAATGGTTCTAAAATTTTAATAATGGTCGATATATGGTTTCAAATACATCCACATTCGCTAACGAAGTAGCGGGTATATACTAGTTCATTTATAAAACTCTTGCATTTTTTCTCTTCTATAAGAAATGCAAATATTTTCTTCAGTAGCAAATGGAAAAAAATCATATTTCCGGTTTCCGTTTCTTATTGTTTACTCTCTCGCCTTTCTGCTCCTTGTAAATAATTGTTAGTTTATATTCGTTTTGAAATGTAAATAAACCCCAAAAGCATTAGAAAATAGTTCCACATTTATTTCTTTGCCCCCGATTACAAGAAAAACAAATATTTTCTATAATTTGAATAGTTTCACTAAAACCAATATGTTCCCGCAATCTCCCACCCCTCCCCTCCTTATCAAAGTAACCAATTTTCTTTGAAAAAAGATTCCATCCAAATGACAATGATAAATGTTAAAGTCATTAAAATTCGATTTGCAAGGATACTGATTTGTTATTGTTGTTGTTTTCGATTTTCTTCTTCTTTAGCATTTTTCCTTTTGTTTCAAAAGAACTTTTTGTTAACGAGATTTATTCGCAAGCGGACAAGTACAAGAAAATTTACATGGTTTTTATGAAAGAGGGGGATATGTCAAAGAAGGGGCTCCACATTGATGAGCATAAAGTTTATTGTGGGGAAAAAACTGAACTGAACAGAAAAAGGGATACTCAAATCCGTGAGACTTATAAGTTTTCCACTAATTGCTCTTTGATATTCTTCAAGTGGTTATAAAAAAATTGTGGCTGAGCGTGAAAGTTTTCTATTGAAAATATAATGATCGAATGTAAAAAATAAAGGGCAGAATGAATAAATGTGAATCAAAGCAAGTGAAGTATGGATGGAGGAAAATAATCAATTAAAAAAGGTTATTAGGGAAATGGCGAGGATTTTATATAAAGAACAACAAATGATTAAAAAAATATTTTTAAAAAAATCCACGCCTCAACTTCGCCTTGAAAAAATATTTTAAAAAAAAATCCACGCCTCAACTTCGCCTTGAAAAAATATTTTAAAAAAAAATCCACGCCTCAACTTCGCCTTGAAAAATATTTTTTTAAAAAATCCACGCCTCAACTTCGCCTTGAAAAAATATTTTTAAAAAATCCACGCCTCAACTTCGCCTTGAAAAAATATTTTTTAAAAAATCCACGCCTCAACTTCGCCTTGAAAAAATATTTTTAAAAAATCCACGCCTCAACTTCGCCTTGAAAAAATATTTTTAAAAAATCGACGCCTCAACTTCGCCTTGAAAAAATATTTTTAAAAAATCCACGCCTCAACTTCGCCTTGAA